GAAATATAGCATACTAACCAATCATTCGCACCCATTCACACACAATGGCACATCCTTGGGGAGCAATGAGAAAATAAATAACAGCTGGAACTTCAGCTAACGAATGAAACGGGAGAAGGCAGCACAGCAGGTGCTGTGACAGAGGAGGGAGGGTCACTGTCAGCTGTAAAGCAGCAGAAGGATGCTAACGCTACAGCTGAACGTGGGCTCCTGATCAAATTGACTACTCTTTGCATGCTTGCATTAGATATTTCCCTGTGAAATGTGGTAGAAAAAAATGAATATATTATACTTTACTTAAGTAGGGGAGAGCCGGTAAGAAATTAGCATAAGATGAAAATAACGCAGTGAAGCCCCTACGAGTCTGACATGCTTAACTATGTTAACACTAACAGCACGCAACACAACACTCATGTGGATTTGTCACACTGTCGCTGTGTTTTACCCGGAAAATTGTTTTAGATCACGGAAACTAAATTCACTCAAGCGGTTGTTCTTTTTGTATGCCGAGTTGTGTTTATTGTTTCATGTGGCATCGTCATGATCATTTGACAGATTACTACTTCAACACATCCTGAGGTTTGCCATGTCAAAGTTTTTCAGTGTGGCAGCGAGTCAGGTTTCCCTTTCAGGAGTCATTGTCGAGACGAGAGTAACAGATGTCTTTAGTCCCTCTACAGTAATGGTGATTTATTCAAATGTGCATGTCATATTTCACCGACAGAATATGCCTGGGGAAGTGTGGAGGCAGTGTCTCCTTTGTCTGCACTGGTCCCATGAGGTTTATACTGAGGATGCAGAGCACCAGGCTGGATCTGTCACTACTGTGACAGTGAATATAATAAGAAAGTAAAGACCACGATATGTTTGCAATTACATATTAACAAGAACACTGTATTTTGTATAAAAACAACTACTTTATACCATTGAGCTACTTTTTACCCACCTGTGTCTTTTATCCTGACTGACACGGTCAAAAGTGACACTCGTGTGAGTTGTTGGTCACAACTAAAAATACTATTTGTCTGTAATGGTATCTTTTGAAATGAGGCTGAAAAGTGTTCCTTTCATACCGGGTCTCCCCTACTGTACTTGAGGAAATGTAGATTCTCCCCTGTGCATCTCTTCCAAATCTCCATTGATCGACTCCAAATTGATGAGGTGGGGAGATTTTGGCCTCTTCCAAAGAGCTCACACAAGCTTCCAAATTACACAAAAGTGGTCCCTACTTGCCCTCAGCTGTTGCCCTTGATATCCCGGGCATGGGTTTCTGCTTTCTCATCTTGCGATGCCTCGCTGGCCTCTGATAGCTTGTTTTCAGACATGTTAAGCCCATTATCGGCATTTTTAGGATTAATTTTGTGGAATAAAAGACATAATATAAGGATTATGGAAAAACACTGTATTTTCTACCAGAATCTCTGCAAAAGTTTTCTTAGAAACCTATGGATGACGTCACAGAGACTACGCTCATAGTTTATACAGTCTATGATCTCGTTGCCACAGTGAGGTTGCCAGGTTTGATGGCCATGCTGCACAAAAGGGCTGGGAGGATTCATAAAACTACAAATTAGAGTCTTTATATTACTGTTATTGTATGGATCAAACACATGAGATACCGGCCGTTGTTTTTTTTGTTAAACTATGGACTGAGCCAGGCTTGTACTGTGTCCTGACTTTAAAACATGTTGTGTCTTTAAATTAAGCAAATCAGAGGATGTCCAGTTCTCTGTTGCTGTTTTTTGAGTCAGCCATATTAACACAGTCAGAAGTATTCAGCACCATGGTCAGCTCCACCATCATGTTCAATGTGAGGTCCTGTTGAGCTGTTGTTCACACACTAAGTCTACCCAATAAAGCACAGTGGTAACCATTAAAAATCCTCACAATGTGCTTGTTTGTGTTGACTTGAGGGCTGAAGGGAAAATTAGTTGCAGTTGTTTTAATATAGCAACATAAATACAGTTCCTAATTGTCACACCTTGGAGCCGAGATTTAGAGTGGTTGAACTGACACATGTCTTGTTTAATGGGTTTTCTGACTGGAGACAAACTGAATGAACATTCTATTACATTTTATTGTACACAACCTCAAACCGGGAGACAAACAATCTTGTGCTCTTTTCCTCATCATCCTCAAGTGCGACCAAAGTAAATATTTTCAAAAAGAGAACAGACAGAAATTCCAAAAACTGCAATTAGGGAGCACGTAATCAGCCTAACAGTCCGTGGAGGACTATTACTTTTTGCAGATTTGTTGCACAATGAGAGACCACTTTCTGCTCCATAGCAGCAAAGCTTAAAGAAAATGAACAGTGTGTGGTGATCATTTAGGAGTATTATGCTCCTATATACATTCATGATGGTTTTGTGATAAAGTATTGACAGACTGCTGAGTGGTTTCACTGGAATCATATCAGCCTCTCGAAACGTCAGCAGCATTTTCTCCAAGAGTGTAAATAAAATGAATCTGTATTGATCAAAGTGAGGAAATCAGACCTTTGCAGTTGCAAATGTAATAGGATATACAGAAAAAAAAGGCATGGGAGATTGTTCTTGACCTTGCGAACTTTATGTGCAAAAAAATATTTCAGCTCAAAATGTATGTTCCAGACCGCTCACATGGTCCTCATCTTTGAATGGTACTGGCGGGAGGATCTCTGTTGGTCAAACTTGTTTGAGTTTGATAGGATCTTTGTCTATAAGTGCAACCTGCTGTAGAGTTTTAACCCACAGAGATCAGAGGAGTTGGAATTTCTGAATTACATTGTAAAATCTCATAAATGTCAATATGATTTTCTGTGGTGATGGTCTTTAAATTAGATTCAGGATTCTGAGTTTAAGCGTCCATTGATATTATTAGGGATGGCAGCTTAGCTTGAAAGAGTCACAGGCTGAATTTTAGTTTTTGTGTGCTCATCCTCCTTTTAACAGAAGTTGAGTTTTTCGGATTTTCCGCATGACGGTTTAGTGATGGCACCAGTCTTTCTCTCATCGACAAAACTGAATCAACTTCCTGCATTGCTTCCAACAGTGTCTCACACATATTGTTCATTTTCAAGCAGGTCTACCTGAGGCTACATACAAATCAGCCAAACTTGAGCGGACTGCAGCTTCACTCCCTCCTGCAGTTACTGCAGTCCCTCCTTCTTTAACTGCATCACCCCAAGGAGACTGTAGCCTACACTTCCCTAAGGTCTCATTACTGATTTTAACTTCTCTTCGAGCAGTGGTTCTCAACCTTTTTCTATCATTGAGTAAACTGACGACCCCTGACTTTATGGATATTTCATATTATATTCAATGCATAACAATAACAGAACAGGTCAACTGATAAACTGTACAGTAAACCCCAAAAGAGAACACAATAGCTGCAGGAAGTTTCAGATTTGGAAGAATTTTAAGCATTATTTCCTGTGAATATTGCATCAGAGTCGTTCTTCAGTTATCGAAGATCGGCGGTACGATCCCCGGCTCATCCAATCCATGGTGATGTGTCCTTGGGCAAAATACTGAACCCGTAAGGGTAAGACTGCAAGTTGCAATACAAGTTTACAATTTACTGACATGACTTCCAAATTGATTTGCAGTCTTTATGCTAAGCTATGCTAACCAAGTCCTGGCTCTAGTGTCATACTAATCACAGTATACAAAGATATGTTATTTCTGACACAGGGAGGCGTTTCTGATATTCAGCCTACTTTCATTGATATAAATGGGATGGACAAAATATAATAGTGAATGACATGCTTTACATCCTGATCCACTTAGTATCTCCATCTCTTGCACCTTCATATTCACTATTCACTATTCATGTCAGTATAACACAACAGTTTCTACAAAAGCAGGACACTGTAACCTTCATGAAGGTGTTGGATTTATTTCAGGAATGTTGTGTCAGACTGCATTCGTTTTTGCCAGATGTACCTAATAATTCTCTTTCTTCATAGTTCTTTGTAGATGTTGTCCCCCATCATGCATCAGGGAGAGGCCAAAGCTATTTCAATGTACATTCAAGTCTTGTTTTAAGAGAGACTTGAAAAAGTGTGAAGTCTAAGTACTAGTGGTTGGGTATCACTGATTTAGGGTAAAGTTTTCTTGGTCTCAGCATCTAGTGGCCACTAGAGGAACTGCAGCCAAAGACACATTCATTCCTTTTATTCATTTGACAGTTTTGTTGCTGTTAATACCAATTTTCTTGCAGAAACTTTGAAACATGAAGCTGCTGTGACCATTTAATGTTGCTGTGATCCAAAAAAGCGTCAAACATGCCCCTTTGTCCTGCCCCGCAGCGTCTGATACGACTCACAAGGCACCCTTATCATCTGAATCAGATCACTGGGCTTTCAAGTAAAACCCATGTAAAACCCGGTGGCATCATTATCAGATGCTCAGAGAAAATGCTACTGGAGTGTGATGACGTAAACTGAAAAAACTCACAAGCTGAGTGGGTCAAACAAACCAAGAACTTACTGCCAGGATACTAGTGTTGAGACAGTGATTGTGTGGGCTAATGATATATTGTTTGCTTTTTATTTTAAAGCCCAACCAAGAGGTTTTCCTAAACCTAACTCAGTCGTTTGGTTGCCTAAACCTAAGTAAGTATTTTGTTTTTATTCTGAACTTTGAGTGTTTACTGCAACCATGCTCTGGGCTGCCCAGTGCTTTAGAAAGTGACGCCAGTATGCAACGAGTTGAAATGAGAATATGTTGAAATAATCCCATGTGAAGTCATTTTAATCCTGCAAAAGGAATTTCATAGACAACAATCCTTATAGGTTTTATTTAATCCTATTAATTCGGGCACTTAATGCATTTTAAATGGCACCTTTAAAGGTTTCATGCAGAATGGTTTGCGCATGAAGAGGTTCGAGCTAGGAACAAGTATTTCCTTGCGCTAAAAGAGCTGTCTGTAATAATGTGTCACACAGTAAAACCATCCCATGTGAACCACGCAGTGCTCCTCGCAGACATTCACTGTGTATTTTCGCATCAGCAGCTCTGGAAGTTTTGGGGATAAACGAGGTGCGGGGACTTCTCCGCCGCTCGGTGCTGAGCGGACTGACTGACGCCCCTCCTGCCTGCCTGCCCCGGTCGGGTAAAAGGCGCATGTGTGTTATCGCTGTGATGTGAGTTGAGCCGCATCCAGACGCACTGGCCGCCGCTGGCTGATGCTCCCCCCCCCCCACCCCTCTCCACCTCATCTTGGTGGTGTTGTGCGCAAAATCTCCAGCGCCGGACGGACGGACGCAGTTTGACGGCACAAACGAGCGGAACTGCGGGGGGATATCCAGGAAAATAACATCCAAAGACAGACATGGATATTTAACGGGCATTTGATATATTTTTTTATCTCTGTTTTTTTTTGACCCTGTGATGTTGCTTTTGCCCCGGGGGTGTTAATGAAACCTGCTCGATGTCTCTCATCAGTTTATAACCGAAACAAAATGAGGATTTCTTCTCGCGACTGGTTTCTGTTGATATTCTCTGGCTTTTGGGGACTGACAATGGGTGCTTTCCCGAGCAGCGTTCAGATCGGTGAGTGTGAGAGCCTTAAATGTAAATTCCGACCAGAAAATGAATCATGTGAATGAATGTGTGGACGTCCTGTCTGCTGCCGCTGACCTGCCATTTAACACGCCGGCACTATACTCAAAGTGGAAATTGTTGATTTCCTTCCGCAGTCTTTTATTTTTCTTCTCTAAAATATCACGTGCAGGCAGACCGGGTGCTCTCTTCTGTTGATGCTGTGCATGTTTAACACACACACACATACACACGCACACACCAAATGCGCTTTGTATCTGCAGGCTACAGTGTGTATCCCGGTGCACTCCGCCACTGCAGCAGATCAGAGCAGCAAAGTGTGTGTGTGTGTGTGTGTGTGTGTGTGTGTGAGTGAGTGTATTCCCTATGCCGGCTGCCTGTGTTCATTGACCGCTGTTAACAGTCTCGCAGACCCCGCTGCAATAAACCTCTGCCACGGTCCCAGGGGCCTTACAGCTCCACTCTTTCACTGTTTTTTTTATATATATCTGCATGTTTCAATTTAACAATTGAACAGTCGTGGGTGGAAATAAAGGTGATGGATTCATGGTTTTCATTTCACGAGCAGGCAGATTGATTTGGTTGATTTAAAGGCAGGGAATGAAAAGAAGGACAAACTGTGACCTCCAGTTGGTGATCATCACAACCCTCCCCAAAAAAAAATCAATTATCAGTAAAGCAGTCAGTCATGCTGTTGTCTGTAACAATCCTGATGAAGGTGTTAAAATCTTTTAAAGCATTTGCTCAAACTGACTTTTTTTCGTGGCTTTGCCCTCCACTGCACCCCTGCTTGTAGCGGAGTCGAGGCACATCAGCACCAGTCGGGCTGATGGAAAATGACAAGCTGCTCAAATGATTCCCGTTGTCCTTTTATATCAACGTGATACCCGAATCCCCGGCCTCTCCGGGGGAGGACAGAGGTCAGGGTCTGTTACAGACAGCACCCGTGGAACTGAGGACACTTGAGCTGGGTGGTTTAAACCTGCATCTGTGGAACTGCTGCCATCATGGTGAACATTCAAGTAATGTTTGCTGCTGATTTAAGCAAAACTACTGCTGTGTGTGAATTTTTTGCTCACATGTTTTTTTGCAATTTCAGACACCGTTTCCTGATGTTTTTAAAATTATAAGCACTTCTCAGTATTGTTTGGCTAACAGCATCTCTGCCAATGATAGCAAACATTGCTGATGTAATACCAGTGTCGTCATATTTCCCCTCTCAGCCCTGTAGTTGACCTCTGGGAGTGTAAAAACCCACTACGTACCAGTGATTCCTCACCCACCAGACTCAATTTAACCTTTTATCTAGTTTTGAGCAACCACCACAAAGCTCCATCTGTTCTCAGAGAAGGCAAACATCTCTGCAATCAACACTCGTCAGCTTCAAATAATTGTCACTGAAAAATCAACACTTATTAGCGGTGGGACATTTACTGTGTACACATGCCTGCAACACAGAAACAAGTGCACAAATACAGCCATGGCAAACAGGCTTCACCACTGCCACAGATTCATTCTGACAGCATTGATACGTGTGAAGACGCATCGCTAAAAGCTCTTTCATGGTTCTGTAAGGCTCTACAGCTTCTCTTTTAAGGATCCTGAAGCTATTGTCACATCTTAATAAGATCCTAACAACATCTGAGTGGCTGTGTGTGTTGTGTGCGCGCGAATGTAATCTTTAGAGATTCTTTTACTGAGGTGTTGCGAGATTCTTAGACTTAATGAGACCAGTCGCATCACCTCATAGTGAAACTCCATTTACACCTAGTATTAACACGTTATCTCAATAAAGAAAATCCCACACGGTGTAGCAGAATGCATCGCAATCTCAATTGGCCAGACAAACCACATCTGGAGGTGATCTGGCTCACATGGATCTCAGCCTGCTCTAAATGAAAGGTTCACGTAAATTCACCTATTCTTGCTACCTTAAGCCGCTTGCCGGAAAGCTTAAGATGGCAAAGAAATCCGCTTACTCTCAAAGGAAAAATTAACTCTCGGGGGACCACTTTGATGTGCAAGACGAGGGACAAATGACTAACATTGTGCTAGCAAGCGTCTCCACTGGCTCTGATTGTTGTCTCACAGTTAGTAACATTAGCGTAGTTAGCAAGGCTATTGAAAAGTATCATATAGATACCATCGTTGGTTTCTATCGGACATCTAACCCTCACTTTGCACATCATGGCGTCCTCTGGCGAGTATCCTACATTGCGTCTCTCAACGTAAGGCACGCTTTGTTTGTTGACAAGCCTGCCTGATTTGCATACGAAGATCTGATCAAATAGCGAGCAGAGGTAACACGAACACTGTCAACAGCAGGTGTGAATTCAAAGGCCTGTGATCAGATGTCATCATTCAGATAACAGGCTCTTTGGAACCCCAAGAGTCTTATTGTTGTCAAACCATATGGTAGTGATGATTCAAAGTCTGGGGCCCCTACAGTGTGTTCTTCTGTACTCAATCTCAATTTGTGTAACATTTAGCAGATGGGAAAGTCGTAGCTGAATAAGTGGGATTTAGGTCGAAGCTCAATTTTTTTCCCTCTTTTATTTGGCGGTGAAGATAAGTTTTCATATTTGAACCACACGTTTCTACTCCCAACACATCAGGCATTCAACTAATTCCAATGTTACTCCAAGGAGACTGCTGTTTGTGTCCAATGTTTAAGTGTACATTGACTTATTTTACCGTAGTTTTGTTATGTAACTGATGTACTAAATGTAATTATTTTACATAACAAACATAGTTATTTTAACCCAAACCACAATCTTTTCCTAAACCTTACCAAGTACTTTTGTTGCGCAAGTAAAACTAAAACCTAAGTAAACCTACAAATGCAGTTCATTTTGAAAAGACACTTTGCATGTCAGGAGCTGAAACTGACACATCCAGAACCTTCACTAGAGGGGTACCAAGAGTGTCATAGTTTGAGGCTTTGGGCCACTGACCAGGCGCCTGTGTTTGACGAGTTGGTACTGAAAGTGTGTTGATTCTAAATATGTAAAGGGAATTCCTACTGGTTGCCAAGATGATCATAATGTTCACACCTTTTTTGTAAATCAGGAATTAACACCTCCTGTGAGCATTTGGTTGCAAGTGTGAGTCAGTGGGACATGAAACCATCATAGTGGAAATTATATGAAGTTCATAGCAGCTCCAGTGCTTCTTTTACCCATGCAAAAATATGGAAGGGATTTACATGAGTGAGCACCATAAAGGAGTAACCTATTCTAAAGTTTACATATTATAGAGGTCAGCCATAAAAACAACACACTGGCATTTTGCTTTATGTGACATTTATACCGTCTAATCCCAAGAAATGTAGCCTTAAGTTAGATTTTTAAATGTGAAGCAAACTGCTTCAAACCTAAAACACCACAGACATTTGCACAACCATGAACAGCATAGTCAAGATCTTTGTATATGAAGAAGGCTGTAATGTCAAAAGAAAGAAAAAAAGAAACCAAGAGAAAAGTCTTATCTCTGATGCCAAACTGATTCTTGATACTCGAGCAGATCATGCAAATCTTTGTTGATCCACAAGGATATTCTGAGAATATAATATCACTCTTTCTGCCTGCATTGATATGAAACAATGGTAATTTACATGCTAATCAGAATGTATCCTACATAGCCCAGGCGGTGCTTAAAGAGTCATGAGTTGTTATAGATTAATACTGAATTTTATTGCATTTCATATAGTGTCCAGTCAGCTGTGTCCACCTCTGATATGACAGAGATTCCTCTCTGACCAACGCTAGCTACTAAAACAGTCAGTAAAACCCTAATGCATATGGTGCTTTAGGCTATGTATGCCTGTAGTTCGCTAGTTAACAGAGTAGAAGACGTATAGGTTGCGAACTGGAAACAAAACAAGTTCGCTTGGCTGTCTAACCCATGGACTACTGAAAAATGAAGAGAGGTCTAAATGAATTAGTTTAAACTGGGCACGTTTTAATTGTTCTTTCATGTCAGCTACTATTGGCCATAATTCATGTTGTCCGGAGACAAATACAAGCATTCCTGTGTATCTGGGTAAAAGCTAACCGCAGAAACAGCTGATCGGTCATGTGAGTTAAATGTTTGCGACGTCAGAATTTATTCGTTTCAATGTCCCATTTAATGCATCAAAGGCAAGAAACATCTTCAAGCAAGCGGAAAAACCTTTTCGAGGAAGTTTAATTGTATTTAAATTTAATTCCATAAAGCTTTTCTCATGCAGTACTTCAAAATGTGCATGCAAATATGTGAATGGAAAGAGGGTATTCAAATATCTCAGCAACAATAACACCCAGCTTATTTGTGTCCCTTGGTTTGGTGCCCATATTAGTCCAATTCTACTTAAATTCACTGTGATCTGAAGTTTGTGATCCTCCTCCACAGACAATGTAGACAAATCACGTTTTTTCATTCTCTGAATCTGAAATGTTAGTGGTGCAATTCTAACAAAACGAGAGCTATGGACATGGAGACTTAATCTGATCAAATAAGCATGTGTGGCTCTTAAAATCTTGTTGGTTTTCCAACTAGTGAAAATCTGGAGATAATGGTGAAATTGTTGTTTCTGCCTTTCTTCTGTGCAGGCGGGCTGTTCATCAGAAACACTGATCAGGAGTACACTGCCTTTCGTTTGGCAATCTTCCTGCACAACACCAGCCCGAACGCCTCGGAAGCCCCGTTCAACCTGGTGCCTCACGTGGACAACATCGAGACGGCCAACAGCTTTGCTGTCACCAACGCCTGTAAGTCTGTCACATTGTTTCATTTTGTGTTCGTGCACTTTGGGGTTTTGATCACGGTTGAGCAAGAAAATGAGGCTTCCTGTGTGTGAGGTGACCAGGATCTTACCAAGATATACGGACAAAATTGTCTTGTTATTAAAGGATAATTCAGTTTTATTACAGCTAGGGTCCTAATCTCACCATCATTCCTGTGGATAATAACATTGTACTCAAGTTATAGAAGTAGTTCAACCTTATTTTGTAGTAAGGAGCTGCATAAACGACAAAACTTCCTCTGAAACCACAAATTGTCATTTTAACATTTCTGTTTTTGCACAGATTAAACAAACAAGGTACATCATATTAATTAATGATCTTTAGAGCAGTTTGGAAGGATATGTTTTAAAGTTTGGACAGAGCCGGATTCATTGTTTCCCCCTGCTTCCAGCTTCTATAAAGCAAGGCTAATCACGTACACGACTGTGTATTGGCAAGAATCTGGGGCTACAAAATGCAATTATAATTCAGGGGTTACGATCCAATAAATTGCAAAATATATTGCGATACTGTAAGGGAGGGGATATAGTGCAATTGTTTTTAAATCTATTTTTAGGAAAACCCTCATAGTATAAAGAACACATGACCATATGCATAACATCTGTTTAAAAAAAGTTTATTTTTTAAATTGAATCAGAACTTTACAGCATTTGCATTTATCACAGTCCCTGTAACATCCAACATCAAAACACAACACAACACAAAATGACGAACCACTGTCTGCCACACATCTTTGCATGTAAACTATTAATTAAGAATCAATGCATTGTTTTTGAGAATTGATAGAGTATCTCAAAACATAATATCGCAGTACTCAAGTGTTTTGATAGTTTCTCACATCGCTATTCACATAACTTGTATGATGCCCTGTTGGACCAATTTTTTGTGATTTTGCTGTGTTCCTAGATCTCAGCAATTATTTTGGTGAGTACAATGTTTTCATGATGGATAGAAATGATGATTATAATTAGTAGTTAACCATTATCTTCCTAAAACATGAGTGTCTTTGTCATTCCAAATGAAAAAAAGTGGAAATGTTTTAACTGACACATATTTAGGTCGCGTGTTTCCATCCTGCCACTAAACCAGCTCGTTGTGTGCACATGAGCATGAGTGCATGAGTGTGCATGCGCGTACGTGTGTGTGTGTGTGTGTGTGAGATGATGTGGCAGTACAGCAGTGTCTGTGAGTGTCTGCTGGTTCACATCTGATCTGAGCAAAGCCGCCCACACACTGAAGGGGACAGCAGCAGGAAACACACACACACACACACACACACACACACACACACACACACACACA